TGCCCGGCCCAGGCACCAGCCCGGCATTCCCCTCCTCTGTCAGCCCCACCCACTGCTCCACCAGACGGGCTTCCCGCTCTACATCGTCCTCTGTCTTCTCTGTGGGACAAAACGGGGGCATGAGCGCCAAGAGGGAGAAAGGACAGTTTCTAAATTTAAATCTATTTGCACTCAGTGGTACCCACAAGTGCCTTAAACATCCATGGTGTCCCAAATAGGGAATTGAGGCTTTGAAGATTAAGACAGAGCACCCAGACAAGCTCAGAGAGGCTAGGACACTAGCCTAACAGATCATAAACCCAGGAAGAGTGGAAAGAGCATTGGAACAGGGATTAGAAGACTTGGGTGATTTTTCTAGTTCTGTAATTTTGGAAGGTCGTTCAACAGATGAGTCTTAGCTTCCTAATTTGTCAAATAGGGTTAATACAAGTCATGTCTACTTCATGCACCTGTCAGAAGGATCAAGTGCAATAACGGATGTGACAGTGCTTTAGAAAACCACACATCATTTTATAAGGATAGAGGATTAAAAAACACCAGATATTGCACTCTGCAAAACTAACTTGTTTTCCTTCATGCTCATTATGAAAGGGATTTTATTTGATCTATTTGGCAATCCTCTTAGCCTAGTTCAACTCTGGAGTTACCTGGGCATAGGCAAAGTGAGTTTTCATTAGCAGGCTGAGTACACACATACACACACTGAGGCCAAGAGCAGAACGCGGAGGCAAGATGTTTTACTGGGGGAGGATTTTCGCCGACTTCTGCATGAAGCGGATTCACATTCAGAACATGTCCTTTGGTGGAGAACCAACCACAATGAGTGAATCGTTCACTCAGGATGAGAAAACGGGTTTTTTGATTTTTTTTAACTCATTTTTACTTATTTATTTTTGGCTGTGTTGGGTCTTCGTTGAGCTGCGTGGCCTCCTCATTGCAGTGGCTTCTCTTGTTGTTGGAGCACAGGCTCTAGGTGCGCGGGCTCAGTAGTTGTGGTGCACGGGCTTAGCTGCTCCGCGGCATGTGGGATCTTCCCGGACCAGGGCACGAACCTGTGTCCCCTGCATTGGCAGGCGGATTCTCAACCACTGTATCACCAGGGAAGCCTGAAACCAGGGTTTTAAGAGCAGATTTCTGCTCTAGAATCCAAGTGGCCATTGCCAGCATAAGCAAATTGAATCCTCGGAGCTGGGTGGTGGCGAGTGGACCTGCAGGCCGGCTTCAGGCCACCCCGCAGAAGCCAAGAGCATGGCTACCGCCCAATGGTAGCCGCAGCCCACCTGCCAAGTGTCGTGGCTTCAGAAGTGACCCTTTAGCTGCTGTCAGTCCCAGGTTCTGAGCCTGGAATACCTCATGTGGAGATGTCGATATTGATGGCATTTGCATTCATCAAAACAATATCTGAATTTAACGTTTAATGTCAGTTAACTCAAGTAATGAAACATTACTTTCAAATTCAGAGCCTGCTTAAACACTGTACACTAATGATTCACTAATATCTATAATTGTTATGGGGTCAAAAAGCTAAGACACAGCAGTCCAGCTAAGGGAGGAAAACAGCCTACCACTACTGTCTAGAAGTGAAAAAACTACTCCCAGCCAAGATTTTAATCTCACATCCCTTTTTTTTTTTTTTTTTTTTAACTTACAGAGACAGTATAGTCTTGAAATACAGTCTCACTCACTCCATTCATCAGGCTTCGAATGTCATCTTGTGGACCACAGACTCTAGTCCCTGGGAAAGGTTGAGAGCAGAGGAGGAATTAGAGGTGGGCACAGCATGAAGGCACCACGTGCCTGGTGATGCCTGGGGGAAGCACATCCACTCTCAAAGGGGACACAGCCACTTCTGGCCAGGATTCAGGCTAGATTTTCTAGAAGTGGGATTTTTATTTGACATCTTGTGATTTTATTTTATTATTAAAAAAGAAATTTATTGGGGTATAAACTCAGAAGAGCTACTGACAAGGCAACATCTGTCTCGGTAATAGTAAAACATTCCATAATTTACCTACTAACTTCTCTGATAAGTCCTCTCTTGCCTCACAGCATCTTAAGTGTGTCATCTTTTATGACATGTGGGTCGGTCATACTCCTTTGTATTCTAGTGTTTCGTCTTTTATTACCATATGCTCCAGCAGCGCACCCCTCTCTCTACCCCACCAGGACATCTTCCCTGTCGACGTGTCTAGTGTGTGACAGTCTTTCCCTTTAATGTGTTTAGGGAGGGACATCTCTTTTCAGCATGTATTCAATTTGTGACACTTTTATGTCCTTGAGGCATCCCCATTTAAACTCTTTTTCCCCAGAATGGAGTACTTTTACTGTGAATGTTGTTTTTAAGTTTTGCTTGGCAGAACAGAAGTTCGCATGTTATTTTATGGTCATGAGATTGATCAGCAGCCTTTCATTTCACTTTGGCACGCTGAATGTTGTGTTGGGTCGGTAGATACAAATTCCCCTTTGCATTTAGAGGGTTTTTGTGGTACACGGGCCTCTCACTGCTGTGGCCTCTCCCTTTGCGGAGCACAGGCTCCGGACACGCAGGCTCAGCAGCCATGGCTCAAGGGCCCAGCCGCTCCGCAGCACGTGGGATCCTCCCGGACCGGGGCACGAACCCTCATCCCCCTGCATCGGCAGGCGGACTCTCAACCGCTGCGCCACCAGGGAAGCCCTCACATACCTTTTTTATTGCTGACTTTTTTAATCTGTTCATCTAGGTATTCTCGCCGTTTAATGAGGGCATCAGACCACCTCTCTCTCACACAGTTTAAGTCTTCTTCCTGGCATCAGGGAGGGAAAACATTTTCCTGTAGAGAGCACAGATAACTGTTTCTTTTTTTAAAAAAAAAAAAAAGATGTTTAAATTGATTAGGAAACTTTTCATTAGGAAAGGCCATTGAACATTGCCGTGTGATTAATATGCAAGAAAGCAAAGAGGCCTCAGGAACACTGCATGCTGATTGAGGATCCCATGACTCAGAAATCAGAGCCCCTGGATTTCCAAAAAGATAATTATACTTAAAAGCAAGAGAAGCTCAAACTACACCAGCTGTTGGATGAGTCTTATATGGTATGGGCGTGCATGTATTTAAGTTGAAACCCTTCGTTTGAAGGGTTTGTGATTCTAATCAGAAGGACACCAGAAACAGCCCAAATCACAAAGCAGCAAATGGAATGGAAAACGACAGGCATTTTCATCATTCACAGCTTGATGGCTGGATAAGATGTATTTTCTGAAAGGCAAAGAATAGATCAGTGGAGAACTTTTCAAACTTGCTGCAAAGGTTTTACCTCCAACCGCTACCATAAGGCTAAACGAAAACTTCCCATGCAAGAAGCCAACATGCAGTCAGCCATGCTGAGAACTCCCAGAAGCAGCCGCTGGACTCAACTGTGAACCACGTGGCAGCAAGCGCACAGACAGCCACAGGACGTTAGTTAATGGCGTTGCTGAGATCCAAGGGGATACTGGTATCTCCCCTACCATTTGTTTTTACTTGCTTGTTTTCTTTCTTAGTAAAATTATGAGGTGGGAAAGACACCTACCAATTCTATTCAGGATGCTCCTTTGACTTGCCTAATTCCGGCCTAACCCTTAAGACGTTACATTAAGAGCAGACACCTGAGAACTTCTGAGGCTTTACCTACAATGGACCCACATTTTACTTACAGGAAGGCACACCAGGAAAACATGCTTTTAAAATTTATGTAGAGAATCAGTACAAAGACTGGGAACCAACCCAGAAAAGTTCACCTTGGCTTGCCACCTTGACCACTACTGTTATCCCACATTCCATGGACAGTAGGCCAGTCAGCCCTGACTAGGTAAAATTTCACGTTTGCATATATTTTTTCTCCCCTAGATTTCCAAAAAGAGATTAAAGCTCAGAGCTAAATTCTCCAGGTTATGAATAAGATTGGCCTTAAAGAGAGAAGAAAATTGGCTAAACAAAACTATGTGCTTAAAATGTCTTCAGTTTTCCTAACCGGCAAAAGTCTTTAAAAATACAATGGCACGTTAGAACAGTACTACTCTCTTGGATATAAGGAGCTAACTGCAGGTTCACATAGGAAAGACAGGTCTACTTAAAGATTATGGATGGATAACTACAATTCTTAAGATCACCAATTTAATACAGTGAGAGTGGTCTTATTTAGAAAGGCTTTACGAGCTAGCAATTTGAGATGGCATAGCAAAAATGCAGTATCTGCTTATAAATTTTGAACTGACAGGGAAATCTATAGAAATAGTATTGTATCCCTGATTACACTAAAAGCAAATCAAAAGCGAGTGAAAACTGCATATTCTTGCTCTACGGTCCTCCTTTCCTCCTCCCTGCCCTCAGTTTTGCGAATGCTGGCAATTAGCAGCAGCTGTGCCCCATGCCACAGGATTGACAGCAGCAGTAATACCTGATAACTATCCATATCATCACCATCCTCATCATCTCTCTGGTAGGGAAAAAATAAACACAAAGGACATGCATTTTTTTTTTCTCAAACAGCACACAAGGAATATAAGTCTTTAAGCTTAACACACACATTACAATGGATAGCACACACAACATCGGCATAATAAAACATTTAACCAAATCTCAAAAAGTGGATGTAATTCACTTGTCTATAATTACTTAAAGAATTTAAGATTTAATTTTTTTCTTTAATAGAGAAAGCAGTCATTTAAAAATGGGAACTCTCTCAGATTCTCTTAGCTGGGGATTGGACACAACCCCACTGGGTCAGGCCTTATGGCACTGTTATGCAAACAGTCGCTATTTGTTTCTGGGTGAGCTATTTGACTGAGATTTAGAATGGGCAGAACTAGAAAGGACTTTAGGGAGTCTCTTGGTCAACCTCCTGGTTTTAGCTGTGAGGCAGCTAAGGCCTGAAGGATGAAATGACTGGAAACCAAGGTTCACACAGACAGTGGCAGGGTCAGGACTGGAGGCCAGGTCTGCGCCCTTGTCCCTGCACCACACCACTGTCACTGTGAAATCATCACAGGGGAAGACCCACCGGGAAGCTAAGACTCCACGTACAGTCAGCCCTCCTTATCTGCAGGTTCCACATCTGCAGATTCAACCAACCACAGAATCTTCCTGATCGGAGGGCCGAGTGTACTAGGCCATTTTATGTAAGAGACTTGAACATTCTCAGATTTTAGTATCCAAGGGGGGAGGGGTTCTGGAACCAATCCCCCCAGATACTGAGGGAAGACTGTAGAAGGTTCTGTATACTGTACCACCGCAGTAAGAGCACAGCCCACTATTTTGGATACGTGGCTCTATCATTATCCACTGTTGGATATGTCAGTATCCATGCCAATCAGGTGAGAAAAATCAGAACTGTCCTAAACCCATGGCAACATTTTACAATAATTACATAAACTAAGCATTTTGGCAAAACATTTGCAAAACAAAATCATCGTGTGGAAAATAAAAGCGTTTTAGTTGAGACAATTTTCCTTAGAAACAAGAATAAAGAGGGAATTCCCTGGCGGTCCAGTGGTTGGGACTCTGTGCTCTCACTGCCAAGGGCCTGAGTTCAATCCTTAGTCGGGGAACTAAAATCCCACAAGCTGTGCAGCCAAAACAAAAAAAAGGAAACAAGAATAAAGAAATCCCCATTTTTAGAGAATATCCATCTCTACGGAGGCAGGTTCTACTCAAAATGAATACTGGGCCATGTAACAACCTTCTTTCATTTTTCTATGGTTATTGGAGGGTTAATATTAAAAAAGGAACTGGAGTGGCCTAGTCAGACAAAAGACAAACTTTTTTTTCAAATGCCTTAAAAAATATAATTACATTATTTTCCTATCTAAGTATACTTCAACATATACTGCCTTCTAAAAGTGCTTTAAAAATACTGTTAAGATTATTCTCTGTGTAGACTTTAAAATAAACTTTAGTTTTAGTTTGGTAACCATCTTTTCATTTGGATAACTCTAACTTCAGTAGTAAGCCCACTACTGAAATAATTTTTCTCAAATTAATTCCTCCTATTAATGAATAAAGTACAAACAGCTCTAATTTATCATTATCTTTTAGGCTAAGAAGATACTTCTATTCATCAAAAACTCGCTTGAGCTTTCATGATGTAGAACTGTTGTGACATCAGCATATTCTGGATTGGCTCAAGCTACTGCATCAAAATAATTCTTTTTTTTGCGGTACACAGGCCTCTCACTGTTGTGGCCTCTCCCGTCACGGAGCACAGGCTCCAGACGCGCAGGCTCAGCGGCCATGGCTCACGGGCCCAGCCGCTCCGCGGCATGTGGGATCTTCCCGGACCGGGGCACGAACCCGCGTCCCCTGCATCGGCAGGCGGACTCTCAACCACTGCGCCACGAGGGGGGCCCGCATCAAAATAATTCTGAAGTACTATGTCAACAACAAAAATGGTACTGGACATGACCTTGAGCATGGCAGCAAAGAAAAATAAAAGCTTTAAAACAGTCACAATTTAAATTTGCATGACAGATACTATAAGAAGAGCATTCAGCACTGGGGGAAGGCAGATATTTGAGAGCTCAAATTTTGACAAAAATCAGTTTTAACTCAAGAGGTATAGCTGTTTTTAAAAGTGCAAACAATCAATCCTTGCAATGTTCATCAAACAGGAATAGTCAGCCACTTGGTGATCCATGTTCATAGGTCATAGTTCACACACACAGATTCAAAGTTTTATCTAAGATCAGAGATTTATTAAGCCACAAAATTTTATGGCAGAAAGGGACCTCCGAGAATTATTACGTCTACCTCATCATTTCAGAGGAAAGAAAAAGGGAACTCGAAGTTTAAATTACTCAGTTAAGTCAAACAAAACTTAAGAACCCAGGTCTCCTCACTCCAAGTCTGCGCTCTTTCTACCAGGCCCTGCAGTTGCCCCTGGAGCTGATGGCTAAGTGAGGGACAACCCAACTTCCCCTCCACATACAGCGAAAAGTCTGGTGGAGAAGCCTCCCTGGAAACAGCGGACTTCAGCCTCACAACTCCATTCGTACTCTTCCCAGGCTTTGAGTCGGAGGCAGTTCTGGCCTGGGATGAGGAAGGCAGTGTCTGACACAGCTGTGCCTGCCTTACGGCCCAACAGTCCAAGCCAATGTTTCAGTAAAGTCTTTGCTGCCATGAAGCCAAAAGGAAACTGAGATGGAAGATGAACCCTTCTCAAGATAGGCTGGGCTTACGCCCAGACTCTACAGAGAAAAGTTTTCTCCGCATCATGACAGGGAGTGTGTTCCCCCTCATGTGTGGCAGTGAGGGAACCAGAATTCAATGGTCTGATTCTTCCCAGTCCCTAATTATATCTGATAGTCAAGTGGGGACTTGGTGAAGCACATGCATTCTTTCAGGCCCCTGGGGACGAGTTCCTGATCTTACAGTTTACTGTGACTGGTAAATAAGATGAATTCTTAGCTGGTTCCATCTTTTAATTTTTTTTTAAGTGAGAAAAGAAGGTTTAGCAAAAGGAGATTTAATGAACAAAAATGATCATGAGGACAACTTTCAATTAAAAAGTAAAGCTTTCAGAGAGCTGGTTAAGTATGCCATTGTATGGGGGCAACTTTCTATTAATAAAAGTGGATCAGGCCAAAGCCAGCAATATCAAACACCCAACATAATTTGGGCCAGATATAAAATAAATCCTGCCTAAAGTAAATGAGCACTGTAGCATTGATGTGTGTTTATAAATAAAATTACTATTAATCGGCACTAAGCCAACACAGTAATTCAAACCTAGCAAAAAGGCAACGGACAGAAATATGGATGGGGTGGCGGAGGCCGATACATGCTTAAGGCAAGGAGTTCAGTTATATTCCTGAACAGGTCTCCATCACAGATCACTGACCACCTTAATTCTGCACTAACCAATCTTTGTTAAATACTGTTTGCAACCTGTTGGTCTCACCTGGTAACTGTCCAGCCCTCTCTGGAGCTTGGTGGACCTGGCAGTCACACAGCCAATGGAGATGGACAAGATAGCTTCGACCATGAGTGGCAGTGTCCCAGAACGCTGGACAGGCTTCACTGTGACTTGCACTCTCCGGGAATGACCCTGCAGGGGCGGGGGTGTGATGCGGAAATGGGGGCCAGGAATGGGGATGGGGAGGGATGGGGGAAGAGGATCAAGGAAGGGGAAAGAATTAGGGAACAAAGAGGCAAATAACTAGAAAATTCCAGAAACTGTAAGAGTGGGACAGGGAGAAAACACAAAACAAGCAAAGACAAACCTAGTACCTGTCTGAGTTGAAAGACACCTCCTGTGTTGACATCTTTTGCCTGGTGAAGCTCCACAGCGGCGTACTCCCCCAGCTCATTCAGCTCTAGTATGGAGATCCACATCTCTATTCTGCGAGTAACCTCGTTCCACCTGCAGAAACACATTCCAACAAACGACCATGTCATTGTGCAGGACATTATTAGCAACGGGAAGAAGCCCCCAGTCCCTGAGCACTTACTATCCGTGAGGCACGGTGCTATGTGCGTCACATAGATTATTTTCTTGTTTAACACTCAAAACAATCCTGTGGTATAGGTTCTTTTCATTTATTTTATTGATATATACCTTATGTGCAGTGAACTGTCCAGATCTCAGGCGTAGACTTGGAGGGATGGTGACAAATGCATACACCTGTGCATACACCCCGCCATCACCACAGCAGGTTTGCTCAGGCCCCTTCCCACTCAATCCCCACACCACCTGCAGCAGCTGTGTAACCTCACAGATTAGTTTTACCTGCTCTAGAATTTCATATAGATGGAATCATGCAGTATTGTACTCTTCTAGGTCTGGCTCCTTTGATTCAGAACAATGTTTGTGAGATTCATCCACAATATGCAAGAGTGGGACAGAGTCCTTTTTTATTGTTGAGTAATATTCTATTATATGCCTTAATAACACAATTTGTTTATCAAACATTCTCACACTGAAGGACATCGGGTTGTTTACAGTTTGGGGGATATCATGAATAGAACTGCCATAAACATTCATGTGCCAGGCTGCTTATGGACTTACGTTTTCATTTTTCTTGGGTAAATACCTAGGAGTGGGATTGCTGGGTCACGGAAGAGGCAAATGGTCAACTTTAAAAGATACCCTTCTGTTTTCTTCTATAAGCTTTATAGTTTTATCTTTTACATTTAAAGTCATGCTCCATCTCAAATTAAGTGTTGTGTATCCTGTGAATTAAGATCAAGGTTGTTTTCTTCCATAGAGGTACACAGATGTTTCAGTCTCATTTGTTGAAAAGACTTTCCTTTCCCCATCGAATTTTTCCAGGGCCTGGTAGTTCCTTTCATCATTCCCATTCACAAAGGAGGAAACAGGCTCAGAGAGTCCTTATTCCTTATTCCTTATAAGAAGTCCTTATTCTTCAACCACTGTCCAAGGGTGAGCCTTGACACTGTGTCTAAAGCCCTCAGCCAAGCACAAACCTGTCATGCAACGTTCTTGTCTTAGCATGAAGGGAATCGACTTCCCAGACAGAGCTGCCGTTCCCGGTGCACCGGTGGCCCCATACTTCGATGGCCAATGCTCCATCTGAAATGAACTCCAGGAATTCTTCCGTTACACTCACCACGTAGTCCTGGGATACGCGGGGGAGAGGAAAGGGCGACCGGAGTTAGGCAGAAAGGAATCTGTGAAATTGCCTTTTTAACTTTCAGCTGTATACAGTCATTTCAGAGCACACTAGCCTGATCCCAACCTTAAAACCATCACTGCTGTTTCACAGAAAACCACAAAGAAACCAGAATATTAGATGGGAAGTGATATTCCGAGGTAAGTTAATTGAACTCCTTTCTTTAATAAACGAGGACACTGGGGAAAGCAGCAGCCCCACATCACACTGCTTGTTGGCTGCAGAGCTGAATCTGTCCTCCCTTCCTTTTCCCTGGTACCACTCTGACTTTCAGCCAGAATAGACCAATCAGCACAGCAAAAAAAAAAAAAAGGGGAACTTCTGATTGTTCCTTGCTATGGCTTAGAAGACCAAAACAGAATTAAATTTTATACGATTATCTCCAAGATTCTGCGCTCTTGCTCTTAAACCCTCCCACTCCAGCTCTTTGTTGTGAAATACAAACAGATGAGCATGAGGAAATGGATGCTGAATAGACGGAGCAGTGAGGCAATCACCTGGAACAAAGCAGCAGGCAAGGAACCATGCGCATTTCCTTCCCATTACTGGAATCTCAGGTGACTCTAATTTCTCGAAAGGGCTGCGCTGTATTGGTTTAACCGTATACTACCTAACTTCTTTTTTATTTGGAGACAGAACCAGAATTTTAAAAGGAAAATAAACTTCATGACCAATTAGCACAAACTACGCATTTTAGAGGTTAAAAAAAAAAACCCAAAAGACCCAAGGTCGGGCTTCCCTGGTGGTGCAATGGTTGAGAGTCCGCCTGCCGATGCAGGGGACGTGGGTTCGTGCCCCGGTCTGGGAGGATCCCCATGCTGCGGAGCGGCTGGGCCCCGTGAGCCATGGCCACTGAGCCTGCGCGTCCGGAGCCTGTGCTCCGCAACAGGAGAGGCCACAGCAGTGAGAGGCCTGCGTACCGCAAAAAAAAAAAAAAACCCCAAGATCACACAGTGAGTCCAAAGTCTCTGATAGCAGATAGTCTCTTAATAGCATCTATTAAACCAGTTGTTAACTAGGATGTACTTAAAATCCAGGTTTCATCCTTCTAAATAAGCAGCTTTTTGGATCCAAAGAAAGATGGGGAATATTTAAAAGAGTATTCAGAAAACCATAATGACAACAAAAACAACAAAAGAGTAATAAAGAATTAAGAAACAGACTTGGTGAATACAGGTAAAAATAAAAAGTGGGCTATTCTCATAAAAATAAAGACTTGACAGGGGACTTCCCTGGTAGTCCTGTGGTTAAGACTTCACCTTCCAATGCAGGGAGTGTGGGTCCGATCCCTGGTCGGGGAGCTAAGATCCCACATGCCTTGGGGCCAAAAAACCAAAACATAAAACAGAAGCAATATTGTAATAAATTCAATAAAGACTTTAAGAATGGTCCACATCAAAAAAGATCTTTAAAAAACAAATAAATAAAAACTTGACAGGGACTTCCCCAGTGGCGCAGTGGATAAGACTCCACACTGCCAATGCAGGGGGCCTGGGTCCGATCCCTGGTCAGGGAACTCGATCCCACATGCATGCCACTACTAAGAAGCCCGCCTACCACAACTAAGACCTGGTGCAACCAAATAAATAAATATCTTAAAAAAAGAGAAATCTAGCCTTTCAAAAAAAAACCTTGACAGACTTTACATATGGGAAATTTTATAGGTGGTGATATGGATTTGTCTTCTAACTGTAGAACCAGAAAGAATAGGCACAATTTCGAAAAGAAGGGGTCTTGAATATTAAGAATTGTCCAAAGAAAAACAAAATTACACAGAGGCTAGAGTCTGGCTGTCAGAAATGACTGGTTGGCAGTCTGATATGAAAGACAGGAAGAGTAGCTGATGTCACAAAATAGGTCCAACCAATATTCACCAAATATTCGCCTCTCTCATTTTGTATGATCTTTAAAAGCTCATATGGGACTTTAGAATGCTATGCTTAGAATTCAAAAGAATGAAAAATATCTACAGCAACTTATATGGTTAGATGCTCACGTATATTAAAATAATAAAATGCAATTCTGCAATCTGTAAAATGTGATCACATTTTTGTAAAAAACTTTTTAAAGTTATGCATGTATGACGGTAAGAGTGTGCATCTCTGGCCATTTATGTGTATGAACATATGTTTGCACACACATAATATGCAGCAAATTGTCACTGGTCATCACAGATTTCAGGTAGAGGTCTTTCAGAGTTTATTTTACTTTATTTATTTATTTATTTTAAATGTTATTTATTTTTTGGCTGCATTGGGTCTTCGTTGCTGCGTGTGCGCTTTCTCTAGTTGCGGCGAGCAGGGGATACTCTTCATTGTGGTGCCTGCAGTTCTTATTGCGGTGGCTTCTCTTGTTGCAGAGCACGGGCTCCAGGTGCATGGGCTTCAGTAGTTGTGGCGTGTGGGCTCAGCAGTTGTGGCACACAGGCTTAGTTGCTCCACAGCATGTGGGATCTTCCCGGACCAGGGCTCGAACCCATGTCCCCAGCATTAGCAGGTGGATTCTTAACCACTGTGCCACTAGGGAAGTCCCCAGATTTTATTTTAAACACTTTCAAACGATCTGAATTTGTATTAAAGTACGTTTTGAGGTTAAAAAGCTCAATAAACCTATTATGTTTATGAAACATTCATATGGGAAAAAACTCTAAGTTACAAGTAGACTTTTAACTGAGCCGCGGCCGGTTGTCTCCCAAATAGCTCATTTTGTAATGGCATTTGTACCTTACAGTGAGAGAAGGTCACAGTGTACTGGGCATCCTTGGACTGTGGGGAAGGCACCTCTGGGTCCACTACTGGGGCAGCCACTGTGGATTCACACTGGTCCCAGAATGTGTACTGACAGAAGACGAAATTTGAGAGGTTTAAGGGCAGCCCGGTTGCCTCTTTAATTTTTACCTGGAGAGAGAAAAAAAATGCAAACATAAATCTCATAAAGAAAACAAACTATGCATTCTTTTCATATCCAGCTACGTCAAATTTTAAGAGTAGGTGATGAAATAAATAAACCAGTCATCCATTTGACAGCTGAAAATATTTCATTAAGGGTTACCTACTTGTAATGAAATGTGTACCATAGTTCCATAACTACAGTATGTGAGCATGGTGACAAATGCACACATCCCTCTCAAACTTTCCTAATGACCGAGTTTCTGACACAGCTGTGACCTTTACTAGAAAAGCATGATTCACTAAACAATATGCACTCCTTGCATGCCACATACAAAGACTTCTGAAATTTCATACAACTGTCATCAGAAAGTGTGCTGCACTTCTGGGAAAAGTACTGTCTGTTATTGTATTTATTGTCAGAAAGTTTAACTTTTACCATGTTCTGTGAAAAACTCCTAAGATTTTCCATAAAATTGTTTTGAATTGAAAAGGGCATTTATCTGAGCCTTCCCAGCCCTGCCCTCTCACCCGGCACGTCAGTTTTTTGACTCGGTGAATGATTTCCCCGCTGCTGTCTACGACTTCAAGACTCCCGCTTTCACTGGAGTTCTCCGAGGAGTCATCCTCCACCATGCGCTCCGGGACGGTGCCTGTAACTCGCATCACTTCCACATGGAGACGCCCGGCAACCTGGGTCAAGGAACCAGAGCGCCGTGGGGTTAAAAGACATCCCGTGGACAATACTGACCTGAGGTGGAAAGCATGCTACAACATCCCCGGCGAGCAGCTCCACTGTTATTGCTGGGCCACCTCCAGCAACGGGAAGCTCTCAGTACTTCCAGAGCCAGCCCACTCCATCGCCTGCCCTGTAATCACCCTGCCTTACTTTGAGCCAAATTTGCCTTTGCACCTTGCCTCCTGGAGTCATCTTCATTCTTACCCGTCTTCTACAGGACAGCCCATGAACAGCACAAAGGCAGCTATCACATTCTACCTGGAGTTATCTTTTTCCCTTGTTCACATATTCATTCATTTACTCATTTGATCAAATACCTGGCATCGTGGGAACGCCACAATAAAAAGACACAGGCTCTGCTGCCTGGGCACTCACAGTCAAGTGGGGAAAGACACAGAATTAAAAACCCAGTGTAGGGGGCTTCCCTGGTGGTGCAGTGGTTAAGAATCCGCCTGCCAATGCAAGGGACACGGGTTCGAGCCCTGGTCCAGGAAGATCCCACATGCCACGGAGCAACTAAGCCCGTGTGCCACAACTACTGAGCCTGTGCTCTAGAGCCCGTGAGTCACAACTACTGAGCCCGTGTGCTGCAACTACTGAAGCCCGCGTGCTCTAGGGCCCGTGCTCTGCCAACAAGAGAAGCCACCGCAATGAGAAGCCCATGCACCGAAACGAAGTGTAGCTCCCGCTCGCTGCAACTAGAGAAAGTCCGCACGCAGCAACAAAGACCCAAAGCAGCCAATAAATAAACAAACAAATAAGTAAATAAAAACCCAGTGTAAACTAGCTGTTCTAATAGAGATACATGCAGGTTGTTAGGAGATAAATTTATCCACTCAACAAATATTTACTGAGAGTCGAGTGTGTGCCGGGAACTGTACTAAGTTCTGTGTTTACAACAGTAAACCAAACAGTCATGGCCACTGGGCTCATGGAGCCTCTCCCCTACCCTCTTGGGAGCAGAGAATGAGAATGGAAGTGACCCTAGGGCTGGGAGAAGGGTGAGGGGGTGAGACCTACTCCAGGAGGAGCGACAAAGACACCAAGTTATAAGGAAATAGTTTCTTTGAGACTGTTTTTCTTAAAAAATAAAGGGGGTGGGGGGAACTTAAGTTTCCAGATTATCCTGCTGGTTCTCTGCATTGGTGCTAGTTTAGCAGTGTCTCTCTTATAGCTGGTTTCACAGAACTGATTTAAGGATAGGAATGACCCTGACCTTTGCATTCTCAGAGTGTGGTAACTGGCCAAGTTTTCTTTGGCAACACAGTTTTAGGTCGTAACGACTGGACTTGTGAAGGGGACACGTGCTCTGGCACTGCTGTGTCATCTTACATAGTGAGGCTTATTTTTTTTTTTTTTTTTTTGCGGTACGCGGGCCTCTCGCTATCGTGGTCTCTCCCGTTGCGGAGCACAGGCTCCAGACGCGCAGGCTCCGCGGCATGTGGGATCTTCTCGGACTGGGGCACGGACCCGTGTCCCCTGCATCAGCAGGCGGACTCTCAACCACTGCGATGAGGCTTATTTTTAAAGGTAGCTCAGATCTAACTTCCACAGAGCAATTGGCCCTGACACCCAGGACCTGAGAGAAATTAGTTGACAGTATTTGACAAGTGAGACAAATATGGAGGAAGGAGCAAGAGAAGGGGAAGAAAGGAAATATGAGAAAATGGTTAGAAGACAGTGGCTCTTAAGCTTTTTTTCCCCAATGTTTTTTGAGACCCTAATACATTTTTAGTATAATTTCAGGGGATTAACGAAATACTCAAAGCCCACCATGGACCCTAGCTTAAGAAACCCTGACTAGGGACTCAGCCCTAGATCTCTTTGCCATAGGAGTTGTGCCCATTTTTAACATGGGAAAAAGCAACTTAGCCCACTATATTCCTAGAGCATAATGTCCACAGGTGGGTTACTACATGTGGAATGTGAGCTGTGTGCACTTACACATCACAACTGGGAATCTAGGGTCTATTTTCTGCGTTCACTTTGGGCAGAATGGCACCCTATTCTTAGTCTGCTCTAAGAATCACAAAAAATAACTTAGTATTTCCAAGTTTGCATGTTATTGAAGGATAAGCTAGGAAATAAGGATGTTACTAAATTTAAAATGAAAACATCAGTTGATGAAGTGGATAATATAAAAAAGTTTGAACTTGGACATTTTCTGAAATGTTTCAGGCTGACAGAAGGCCAATATAATGAAATAAATGAAATATGAGGGGCATTTTTTAAAAAAGAGGAGGTAACAGTGGGATGCTTAAGCTTGTTTTCTTTGAATATTTTAGAATTTCAAAATAATCCTCCCAAGTTGTATGCTGTAAAGACCACTTAGGGCCAGGAAGGAGTTAAAGTGTATTACAGAGGTGAGAGATTCAAAGAGAAATCAATATGGGGCACAGAGCTGAATCTGGTTTCCAAAAGATTTCGAATTTGATTAAAACAAAGAAAATACTTGTGAACCACAAATAAAAAACATGTTCTAATAATCTTTTAAAACCATGCCTTAATTTTGATAGTTTCTTTTGATATTAGTAGAGAAAGAAGAATGTGATCCTGATGCTTCACCCTAGTTTCTTGATCTACCTCAAGAACAGAGCTTAAATCGAATTAAAAAACAAAAAACGAACTTGAGCTCGGTGCTTTGTGATGACCTAGAGGGGTGGGGTAGGGAGGGTGGGAGGGAGGCTCAAGAGGGAGGGGATATGGTGGTACATCTATACATATAGCTGATTCACTTTGTTGTACAGCAGAAATTAACACAACATTGTAAAGCAATTATACTCCAATAAAGATGTAAAAAAAAAAAAAAACTTGAACCATGGCCATTTTCTCAGAGGCTGGCTTGTCCTTACCTCCCCCTGCTGGCTGATGATAGGAACTGCATACAGAAGTTTCACATCACAGAACAGACACTCCAAGAACACATTAGCCACGCCAATTAGGTTGTGATTCTCTTGGGCTTCATAGAAAGGGTCACCTCGTTTCCCGTAGAGTCGCTTTGTCTGAATGGTAGGAGAGGCAGGGGGAAGGCGAGTAGGAAACAAAACATCAACTTAAACAATACTATTTAAAACCAGCATTTTAAAATGTTTTAAAAAGAAAGCACTTATCCAAATAAATTAAAAAGAAGTAAAAATAGAATCATGTCACACAAATAAAACAGAGCTATCCCACGGGAGGGGCTTGTTAAGTGACATAAGGGCAGGGAGAGCTCTTCTTTGGTTATAGCCCCACCTATCACACCCCATCTTCCCTATCACACCCCACCTGCAAGGTTTCATTCCCTGTGCCTTGCCTCATTTCCTTCACTGAACCTTTTTTTCCATTACTAATGTAGAAAAAATGGATCATGCTTTCTAAAATTATTCTTAGCATCTACCAAGCCATGAACACAGCTAGGGGAGCATGAACACATGCTAATGAATACAAAATCCACACTGGCTCTATTTAAGCTGATTTTTAACAGCACTGACGAAACAGCACAAATTCACTTTGTCCTACTTCACTTCACTTGAAATGTAGTAGCAACCCCATAAGAACATGCTATGTGTTCTCTTCATTTAGTTCCTATCTGTGTGGGGATCACATGTTTTATGACCGATCCAACTCATCCTTTCAAGGTCACTTTCACTTTATATTTCTAATACAAATGTCCCAAGTAGCACTACAGATATTCACTGATGCACATATGTGTGTTCGGACGATTAAATCACTTATATTCTTGTCCTTTTAGCACAACCAAAGCTCCTTTACAATTTGTCCCTCTTACCTCAGGAACCTTCTCCTTCCATTCTTGATAAAGGTCTCGCATATCAATTAGTTTATTCTCCAGTTTCTCGATGGTCCACACTTGGGTGCTCTTTCCTTTCCTCCTCACTTGAATAGCTGGCTCGCTCACTATCGCTCCTCTCTGCAGAATGAAGGAAAACAAAAACAAAAAACAAACATAACGCATCTTGTTATAACTCTTTTGGATTGTTGAAGCAATATGTATTATCATAAAGTAGAAAGTTTGAAAAGAAAAAAACACATAATGTATACAAAAGAAGATGAAACCCTATCACCTAGGGAATATTCTGGTTTATTTTCAATCTTCTTTGTATACCCATGCACACACAGTTTATTTTTATCACAGTCAGAACCAAACAAATATACAAATTTCCTATCCCAATTCTCTCTCCACAGTTCACCTTCTTGTGTGGTTAAATATTCTTCATAAACATGATTTTTCATAGCAACACAGCCATCCATTATAGGGATGTACCACTCAGTTGATTAATTATTCTCTTGGTCAACATCATGGCTGCTTCAAATTTTTGCTATTACAAAGGCCACTGTGATAAGTGTCCTGGTACAAAAGCACATAAATGTTTATGAACACGTCTATAAGTACAGATTTAGAATAAATTTCTCAAAGGAGAACTACTTGGTCAAAAGACTAAAATGCAAGAAGACTGACGCGATACTCTCTGACTCGTTTCTAGCTCGCTTGCTGGAGGGAAAAATGAATGGATGAAAAATTATTTCTCCCAAAGTTTCTCCTTAAATGAAAATTTCTTCAAGTTGAAATGACAGGAAACTTCCCAATGGCTGCAAAGAACCCTTCTGTGTATGAAAAACAGGTATCCTATGAGTCTTCCTTTCTCGAAGAATTCACTCTCAGAATGGTACTATCACAAAATATACACACATTCCCCCATTTCAGGAGGCATTTATATGAAAGAGAAAAGCAGGAGGAATTACTTATATATATTTCTAGTTTCAATTATTTATTCATTTATTTATTTATTCATTCATTCATTCATTTATTTTTTGGCCATACCAGCGGCTTGTAGGATCTTAGTTCCCCAAAACAAAAATTGAACCCGGGACCACAGCAGTGAAAGCACCGAGTCCTAACCATTGGACTGCCAGGGAATTCCCCAGTTTCACTGTTTTAAAGAAAGCATTTAAATTAGCAAGGCTTTTAGCCCCCAAAATTCTCATATTCTGATCATAAAATACCCAAAGGCATATATACCCGAGATCTCTAAAGGATGTCTTAAAAAGAACAAACCCTCCGGCTCAAGTCAGGGTCTCCTCATGGACGTTTTGTGGATGCCAGGTTTACATTCCACTTACAGTATCTACTGTTGTACCTCTTGCTCTCATCTTCTTTGAGAACATTCTTACCTTTCTATTGGCACTGAGGTTTGCAGCAGGGATCTGCAGAGTCACCTGGTAGTCGGTGAGTCTGCTCATCTCCTCGGCTAAGAAGTTAGCCTCCCTCACCAAGGTGTTAGCTTTGACCAGCTGCTCCCGCAGTTTTGCCAGGCTTTGGCGGAAGAGTTCATCCCTGTGGCACAGCAGAAAAGGACATGAGAATGTCCAAAAGAAAACGGCAGTCCCGTTTCCAAGTGAGTCATGTTGTTAGAAAGTAGTAGAAAACTCCTCTCAAACAATTGTTTTTCAAGCTATTTTGCCAATTTTCCAAGTGAGTCATGTTGTTAGAAAGTAGTAGAAAACTCCTCTCAAACAATTGTTTTTCAAGCTATTTTTGCCAATTCAACTCTTATCCTCCGCTCTTCCCACCAGGTTTCTGTGAGCTCTCCACTGGTAACCACAGATGAAGAACAAACACATGGGGTGACTTAACTTCAAACCATGTTTTAAAGTATATAACAACTAGATTTTGCTATGGTAATGCACACGTACACACAAAACCCAATAGAGCAATCCTTTAGGAAAAAGAAATGATTACGACTTCTGTGTGCTTTGGGGTGGGGGAGATCTGGAGCCAGTAAGGAGAAAGTGTTTAACGTGATTTCTTCAGTTGGTAAAAGGTGAGAAGTAGGGACTTCTGTGGCAGCAGAAATTCGTTTCTCAACTCTACACAACAGCACTTCCTGATAAAAGCTTTTCTAACAGCCTAACTGGGTCCGAACCCTATTATATGTTTTCCCAGCCCCACATCTTTTGCCTCAGTAGCCTTCGTCATAGTTACAATTTTTCATTTATTTGTGTAATTATTTGACCAATAATGTCCGTCTCCTCTACGAAGCTGTAAGCACCCCCAGGGCAGGGACCATGTCTTTTTTGCTTGTCACTACACCTAAAGTGCATGGCCCATCATAGGATACGCAAAAATTACCCACTGAATGAAATAAAGAGTACAGCTGACCCTTGAACAACATGGGTTTGAACTGCGTAGGCCCACGGAGATACAGATTTTTTTCACTACGATCCATGGTTGGTTGAATCTGCGGATGTGGAATGCAGATATCAAGAACCTGCTGTAAAGTTATACTCGGATTTTCGACTGCTTGGAGTGTCAGCACGTGATAAACGCTCAAGGCACGTCAGGCACCATTATTTTTACTACAACACAAGGTAATGGACTATCAACAGACCTGGGTTCAAACCCTGGCCTTTTCATTTACTTAATGGGTGACTGAGGGAAGATATTTTAAATGATTGTCCAAGCTACAAGACAGAACGAATAGTTCCCATGGCTTGGTACTGCTGGGAGCATTAAATAAAATAAGCAGCATTCCTAGACTGTGGTAAGACCACAAGAGAACTCAGCAATACTTATTGTGGTTGTTTTTGTTACCGTTTCCTCCACCACTACCTCAGTTCTGATATAAATAAAGTCACAAGGTAAAAAAAATTCACATTTAGTAGATTTCTTAACATTAAAATTGTATTTTAATAGGTTCCAAAGGAAGAGAAATAAAAAACAAGAAATGGTTTTCTGCTGAAGAACTATTCAAATGTTCTCTACTTTAAGACCAGACCGTGGTATTCTAACTTGGTACCGTTTTTATTAAAGGGTAAGGGGGCAGGTGTAGTCTTTAACAACTAACATCACAGTAAACATACTTAGGATAAATAATATCTCTGAAAGGAAAGGCAAGTGCTAACAATCCAGACACGGGAGTAAGATTTCCCTGTTTGCCAGGTCTGTCCCGCTTTGACGTGCCTCACGACCGCCTCCCCCAGGACCCCGAGGCCTTGACTCTGGGCGCCTCCACCCCCGTTCCCCTTCGTACCTCTCCTCTGCCCACTGGGTCACTTTCTGCTGAGCTGTCTGGCTGCTATAGGCCAGGCGGTCAGGGCCGCTGCTCTGGGGCCGCCTCTCCGGGGACAGCTGCTGGCGGAGCTGCTCCAGTTCGCGCTCGTACATGAGCCGCTGCTCCTCAAGGGCGCTCCTCTTTTCTTCCAGGTACTGTTTCTCCAGGACCTGAACCACATTTTGAACTGGGTCTGGTGAGCCAAGGGACAAGGCGAGGTGCCTTCAGCGGTGGCTACGACAGGGAGCCCGAGGGTGTTCCTTTCGGGGAAAACCATCCCCGCCCCCAAAATCGAGCCTTTCAATGTGCTGCCTGCGAGGCCTGAGAGGCCCGGTGGGATGAAGTCCTCTCCACTTCCATTTCCTTAACATTTTAGATCAATGCCCTGGGGGGAAACATTCCCCACATCTACTATGTGACTTTCTTCAATTTGATGAGCTCATCCTAATGTTTAGATAGATCACTCAATTGCAAAAAGCAGATGACAGGGGAAAGGGGGATGGGATTCTATCCACCGAGAAGAAAATCTCAATGAAAGCTAAGACAACTTCAAAGACAGAGCCACATGAGATTTGATTTTTCTGACAGTCACTTTTTAATGCTCTTCTAGCATTGGTTTCAGCACATGGCAAAGGGTCTGTATTTCTGATTTTAGCCACAAATTTATTACTCCTGAATTTCTCTAATGTGAGAGGAAACTTACAGATCACAGCATGTGTTTGAAAACACTGATTGAGTATATGGTCCGGCAATTTCTCAGGTGTTAATAGTCAAGAAAGCAATTCACTTGCAACTATTTCGACTTTTTGCGTTTGCAGATTGAGAGATCACCAACACACACGTGGGTGAACAGGTATTAGAAATACTAATGGGTCTTGTTGAAAAGGGCCACGACTGTGACGAGTGGTGGCTGTGGTGTAGGCAGGACTCGGTCCTAAAGAGCTAATTGGCTATGGCAGGACATTAGCTTGGTAACAACCAATGGCCTGGATGTAATGGAGAAAGATTAAGGAAGGCACTGACCACATGCACAAAAGAGAAAGTCATGCTGTCTCTAGGGAAACAGTATGTTAGACAATCTGGATGGTAAACAAAGAAATCACCATAATGGTAAATATTTCCCTGAAGTACACGGGACCTAGGAGATGTGTTCGTATTCTCAGACTAGCCTGAGATTCACACACTTGCTTATTATTCAGTGCTGTTTGTGTCGTATTTCTATATATTGACTCTCATTTTAATTTCCAGGATAAGAGAAGGAAATTAAGAGGAATTTTTACATAACCTCATGATAGCTATTGACTGACTTTACCAGAAGACCCTATTAATTTGTGAAATCAGCAGGTAAATTTTAGTAGTTTTCTTTATGAGAAGAGGAAAAGAAAATAGCATGTTAGCTTTAAAAACAGGGTTAAATAATACAAAACAGAGTAGAAAGTACTTTTAAAAATCACTAGATACACAGAGTATACGTGAGTTGTTTTAAGAAAAATGACAACCACAGCAGCAATAATAATTCTACTGGCTGCTGGCTATATCTCAGGTGGAGGCACTATACGCTTTGCATGCATCATCTCATGAAAGCCTTGCAACAAACTTAAGGGTGGATGGCATTCCCATTTCAAAGATGAGACAAACTGGGACTCAGAAAGGTTAAATAGCTGACCTAAGATTGCACAGCTAATAAGCAACAGAACTTGGGTTTTGAACTCAGATCAGAGCTAATTGTCTGGGGTAGGAAATAAACTTAGTAATAAATTGTACTCTTACCTCCAATGTTTTCCTCACAATTAGTACTCTGTTAAAGAGTAGATTTTAAAAAAAAATACTGTTCTTTGCTGATATAAAATTCTCAAATTCATTACTTTTTCAAAGCTGAATACTTTTCTTCATAGAGTCCTGACATAGAGTCCCTGAAATACGTTAACTTGAAAGGCCAATGGAAAATGGACTCCTAAAAAAAACCCTTTTACACAAAGGCAGACCATGGGTGGGTAAGACTTTTTCCACAGAGTGAAAACTGACATACTCCAAAGGATTAGAACTTCTAACATAGCCCTAGAACTTCTGGTGGGGGGGGGGGGGAGAATAATATGGGGCTCTTTTTTGG